TAAAAGAATATTTTCACAAATTGTAAATAATTTTTGTAATAAATACATTTACATTATATATACTCATGTTGGTCTCTGAGCGTTAATACAAAAGTAATCGATCAGTTTTGGATATTAATTGCAATTTGCAATGCAAAACTTTACATAAGTGATCTCGAACATTCGTAATTATCCTATTTTTAATTTTGAAAAAATCCTAAATCCCTCTTTAGTTTCAAAAGATATTTTGATTCTATTATTCGATTTCTATATAGAAATGCATGTTAACTTAAAAAAAGTGAAGATAATGAAATCAGAAACTTTTGTTATTATCGCATATTAATGTCAAATCTAGAAGAAACATTTTTTATCGTTCATTTAAAAACTTATTACGCAAATTCTTACACCTAAAAACATATGCCATTTTATTTATAAAAAAATACTGTGTTTAAGAATGCGAATTTCATAAAATCATTTGTTTTATTATGCATTCCTATTTAATCTAAAAGAGACTTCATTTCTTAAGCTTATTCTGTATACTGCTACAAATAAGTAAATAAAAAAAATGAAGGATTGAGGAAAGTGCATCACGTGTTTCAGAAACAAAACTGAATCAGACTTTTCTGCAAAAAATAAGAGAATGTTTTCTGTAGGTAGTTGAAGAAAACTAGAAAAAAAAGAGTTCATCTGTGTATTTTTCTTGATTGAGGACTGATCCCCCTTGATCGCCGAGGAGTGGGTTTGTGCGATAACCTTTTCTCCAGAAAAAGAAGCCATTCACAAATCGCAAGAATACGCGGAACACTCAAACGCTAAACAAACTAATTTTGACGGGAAGCTCCCTTTTCCCCAGGAATTCCCCCAAAACCTAGAAAGCATCGAAGCAACTACTGAAAGACAGAATTCTGAATAAGATTTCCCTTATTCAGATAGTAAAAAGGGATTTCCTCCTTACTTCCCTACCGGGGATCCAATCTGAATCCAAAGTCCATGAAAAAATGCGTCTTGATATGGATTTGTATTCAGATACAGGTTTCTCCTGTTTTCTAAGGAATGTATGAAAAAGATTACCAGTTTGGAACACTTCGGGCATAAGGATCAGTAGTACACATTCGAAGCTTCAAATTATTCTGCACGCTTTTTTTTCCTTTCTTTTCACCCTCTATATAATGGACAAGAATAAGAAAATTCTTTACAACGTTTTTTCTGTCCTCAACTCGATTGAGAAAAGCATTTTCTTACTCGAATGGTGTGCTTTTGGTTGATGATAAAAACAAACAAAAGGAAATAGTGTTCGCTGGTTACCATTAAAGATTTTTATGTGTTTTAGTTTGTTCATGAATATATTATTTCGTACTGGTTATGAATGTGTTTAGTCTTTATGTACATAGAGCCAAGCAAAATATATCACCATAAATATCCTTTGTTCTAATTATCATACTTTCACGTACTAAGTATAAATTTTAATGGTTCAAAGGGTTGACTTTATGGTAATTGGTTAGTGCCCAGCATTAATTATGAACTTGAATCAGACTAAAAAACGCAATTTCCTTGATTAAACTAATGTGAATTATAATTGTGAATTCATATATATGTCTGAAAAATTAATTATATTATGTCAGTTAATATTAAATTCACTTTTTGTGTATTTCGCCATATTTATTTCGTTTTTTTAACCAAATCGTAAATTTTTCACACAGAATTATGAAATTTGATTGTCTGCTTTTTAATTCATGCACTGAGAAAAAAAAAGTATGATCAAAACTACTTGAATGTGGTAATATTTACCGTATTTCTAGTTGTATGGGAACATCAAAAATGAGACAATTTTTACTGAAGCGCTTAAAAAAAATAATGTCTTTGGTAAAATTAAAAAAAAATATCATTTTATAATATGTGATAAAATTGGGGGGAAATTTGGTAATTTTATCAGGATACCTTAGAGCATGGCATGAAAAACTTTAATAACGGTACATTTACTTTTCAGTTTTATATTTATTATACTAAGTATGTGGTAACAAAAACTATAATTTTAAAAGCCAGAATTTCCAGCAAGTTGTTACCATATTAACGGAAAATTTACCAAATAATTGGTTTAAATACCATATTTTTAAAATTTTTTCTTAACTAGAATTATGTTTCGTTCTTCCTTTTTTCTATTCTTTTTCTACCAGAAATGTCTTTGCTATACAGTGCGATATTTTCACCGGAATTTCTTCTTAGTATTTAAAAATTATTTTTAACCAATTATTTATTATTTCCTTGTACTATTTAATAAAGATATAAAAGTTAAGTTTTAAGGTACACAGGATTTTTACATGGTAGAGAAGGCAATTTTAAATAAAAAAAGATAAATTTTGAACAAAAATTAATCGTATAAATACATTAGGAAGCGAAAATTTAAAAATACATCTTTTTTAAAAACTTCTTTTAACTAAATCTGCCGCAAATGGTGCATTTATTCAGATAAAGTATGATTTTGTATCCGATTCCATATTTTTTAAATAATAGGTATCACTAAATATTTAGTATATCTTAAGTCAAACTTTTGAACCATTAAAATAGGCACCAGTTCACAAAAATCCGATCATTAGAACAAAAATTATTCAGATTTATATTTTCTTTGTCTTAATTCACTGAATCACGATATTTTTGTAAGACACTCTCTGAAGTATTATTTTAAACCGGCAAACAATTATTATATACATTTGGTAAATGTGCCAAAAGTTTTTAGTCTTTGCATTCGAAAGGTCGTACGTTTGTGCACTGTAAATTGATGAAGATTCTCAGACCTTTAGAAGCATACGAAACTTTACTAAAGTTGGACATAAACTATAGATTTGAGTCCAATTGTCAGCATATATTCTTGCTTATTTGAAGCATCCTTGTTAATTTTTTTTTCGAAAAAAGTAATCTACAATAGCAGTTGACAACTAAAGATATAAGGAAAAATCGCATAAAAGCACGCTCAGGGCAAAAGAAGCTGATGGTGAGTGCTTGGTGGATTATCACAAGTATGATTCATTCTGATTTTATGAAACCTATGCTCATCGATCATACCAAAAATGGACTGCAACCAACAAATGTACAAACATTTAAATGAAAACATCCTAGATTGGGCAACTGATCGATCCATATCTTATTACATTAAAGCTCAAGACCACACACTGCTCAAATAGCTGTAACAAAAATACGGAAATTGTAGCCTCAGCATCTTTATATTCACAAAATCTCGCCTCCATTAATTACCATTTCTTAATCAAATAGGAGAATTTTTTTTTATCCGAATTTAATTTTGACAATGCTGCAAAACTTGCCTATTAGGAAATCGTTGATTCGCATTATTAACCAGGGTTTTATTCCACTAGTTTGAACAAACTGCCAATTAAATGACAGGAATGTCGAGGAAATCTGGTTGCATATGATTAAAATTGTTCGATAAATTGTTTAAGTTATTACCAACTTCGCTGTTTTTTTCTACAAGTCCCATCCTTGACCGCCTAATCCCTGATAGCTATGTAGAGTTGATTTTATTGTCACAAAAAGCCTTTATCACAAAACTCAATAAAGTTTTTTAAATGATTAGCAAATGAACCGGAAAAGTTTGAAACAATGTTAAATTCAACTATGCTAGTCTATGCGCAATGAGGTTTCCATTGATCACGGTGTTCGCATGTGCTATGGGATAAAAAACCATTTTATAGTGTGATATTAAATTTGCCTTTACAAAACAAGGCTAGGGAAACCTTCTGAAATCGATGAATCATCATTTGCAAATCAAGAGTGGAAAGCGTTTCCAAAACGAGGATTCATTTCTCAAGGTTTATTTTAGATTTTATGCTCAATGTTTTTTTGCGCAGGCTGTTATATACTTTTTTTCAAACACTTTTAAAGTGATATTTGGCCTGATGATTAAGTTTTCAAGAAAAATTTTGCATTTAAGAGTCTGGACAAAGCTGCAGAAAAAAAGGCAAAAAAAAGTTTACAGTACGTGTAAATAAAAGCTAAGAAGAGATTTTCAAAGATTTTTGTTGTCTTTATTCAATTTTTAAGGAAACAAGTTTCGGCATATTAATCTTTCTACTAAGTTTAAAAAAATTATTAATTAATAAACCTTTGTATGCTAACCAAATAAAAATGAAAATACACCATTTGCCGAAAGTTGTAAGCTATCCTTGAATATATCTTTGTCATTTGCGGGATTAAATGTAAAAATTTTCAATCTGACAGAATGCTTCAAATCTTCTGGCTAAAAATTATTTTCTCTGTAAAGATGGTCAGGTTTTTTTGCCGCTCCTGGACCATCTGGACTACTTAAGTTTTATTTTTTAAATTGAATTATATTATTTATTATATTATTTAAATTTATATTTAAAAGTTTAGATTAGTCAGGCATATTTCTTAAAAAATATAAATGGAATAAAAAAGCTTAATTATATTACTGTACTCATACATGTAAATTATGGTGATGTTTTCCATGCGCTTGTTCGTTGTGAAGTATATTTTTAACGTAACTTATTTTTTGCATATCGAGTAAACAAAAAAATCTAAAAAACGTCTAAAATTCCTTTCTACGAATTTTAAATCTTTCGTTTCATGTATCTAAAAAACCATTGTTTCTACATATAAATAATGATAGGTCTGAAAGTGTTATAAATAACTTCACCATGTGTACTTTTTCAATAATCCATACTAAAACCACTTCCATAAGAGGAATTTTCCTTCAACAAAAATAGATGATTTCTTCACTTTTTTTTTCATTTCTTCCAAATATTACCAAGACAAAAAAAGGAGTTGAGACTACCTTTTCGCCATTAATACACTCCCGGAATTAATACTCATAATTTAACAACTTTCAGTCGAAAGTAATGGACAACTTCCATAATACTTTCCTTTTCCCGATAGATAATAACGGAAAAAAAATGGTAGAAAATGAGGAAAAGAAATCGGGGGAAAAAAATAATTACGTATAAATGGAGTAAACAGAAAAAGATGTGTAGAACAGATACAGTAAGACTTACCGTTTCGATTCTCACTGTCTGCTGGCTTCATCTGTATTGGATGGTGCATCTGTAAAAGAAGAAAAAAAGAAATAAGTAATGGGTAATTAGTGTAGGATAAGAATTCATCAAAGCCAACTGTTGCTCATCACCATCCCTTTTCCCCATACATTATGTACTACCTTACACTCCACTACATTTCCATTCACACATGTAAGGGATGGTTTACTTATTACAGGATATTATCATAAATATAAGGGGAAAATAACGAATGTTGCTAGAAGTATGTTTTTTGGTGATAAACGTAGATTTCCCTCTAAACATTTAAAGTTGCATTTTAAAGTGCAAAGTGAATAACGCACGTACAAGAAATTATGCTTCATTTAAACTAGAAAAATTAGAATTAATGGATTATTTCTAATATTGTTCTATTTCTAAGAAGTATTCATTTTTTGGATATATTTTTTCTGAAATTCAGGAAATTAAATTCTAGCATTTTATAAAATTTTCCATCAAGAGATTTAAAAAAAAAACTTAATTATAACCATACGTGATTTTCACCGTTTGTTGCGTTTTGAAAAACGCTGCATATGGGGTAAAGTATTTTAAAACACTTTTAGTTGAAAGTAATTAAATAATTTTAATTAAAAGTAAAATAAGTAATGGGTAAGTAAGTAGTTTACTTATTTTCTTTTCGGTGAAATTATTTATGGCTAATTAAGTAGTTAAATGATTTTAAAAAGTAAAATAAGTAATGGGCAAATAAGTAATTAAATAATTTTAACAAAAAGTGAAATTAGTAATGGCGAATAAGTAGTTAAATAATTTTAATAAAAAGTAAAATAAGTAATGGTTAATTAGTGTAGGATAAGAATTCATCAAAGCCAACTGTTGCACATCACCATCCTTTTTCCCCATACATTATGTACTACCTTACACTCCACTACATTTCCATTCACACATGTAAGGGATGGTTTACTTATTATTTATTACTTGTTAAGGGGAAAATAACGAATGTTGCTGGAAGTATGTTTTTTATGATAAACGTAGATTTCCCTCTAAACATTTAAAGTTGCATTTTAAAGCGCAAAGTGAATAACGCATGTACAAGAAATTGTGTTTAATTTAAGCTAGAAAAATTAGAATTAGTGGATTATTTCTAATATAGTTCTATTTCTAAGAAGTATTTATTTTTTGGATATATTTTTTCTGAAATTTAGGAAATTAAATTCTCACATATTATAAAATTTTCCATCAAGAGATTTAAAAAAAATACTTAATTATAACCATATGTGATTTTCACCATTTGCCAAAAACGCTGCATATGGGTAAAGTATTTTGAAAAACTTTTTTTGGTTAAAAGTAATTAAATAATTTTAATAAAAAGTAAAATAAGTAATGAGGAGTAGTTAAATAATTTCACTGAAAAGAAAATAAGTAATGGCTAATTAAGTAGTTAAATGATTTCAATAAAAAGTAAAATAAGTAATGGTAAATAAGCAATTAAATAATTTTAATAAAAAGAAAATAAGTAATGGATAAATACGTAGTTAAATTATTTTCATAAAATGTAAAATAAGTAATGGATAAATAAGTAGTTAAATAATTTTAATAAAAAGTAAAATAAGTAATGAGTAATTAGTGTAGGATAAGAATTCATCAAAGGCAACTGTTGCTCATCACCATTCCTTTTTCTACTAGACATTATGGACTATCTTACATTCCATTACATTTCCATTCATACATGTAAGGGATGCCTTACTTATTACAGGATATTATTATAAATATAAGGAAAAAAGTAAAGATGGTAGCTAGAAGCATGCGTATATAAAGTTTAGTTTTAATGATAAACGTAGATTTCACGCCATTAAGTCCCATTTTAAAGTACAAAGTGAACAAACATACGTAAATCATGTTTCATTTATACTAAAACAATTAAAATTTATGAAATATTTATAAGAAAAAATAAGATATTTATATTTTATCTGTATTCTTTTCCAAAATTCATAAAAATATATTCTCCCATTTTATAAAATTTTCAGTGCATGAGAATTAAAAAATATGTTTCATTAAAACCATTTGTGATATTCACCATGTGACACTTGGAGTAAAAGTCTTTAAAAGCATTTTTTTTTGAAAAAAAAAGCAGTTAAATAATTATATTCATCAAATGAAGAAATTATTTACAATATTTTTAGAAAGGAATAGGAAAATTCTTAGCTTTTGAAGTAAATAAATAAATATAAAAAATTGTGAATACTTCGTCATTTTTTAGTGTTTTCATCTTTAACCCTTGGATGCAGAATTTTACTACTCCTTACACGCACCGACCAAATCGCTCACATAATATATTAATAAAGCGTTTGAGGTACCATCGGTTAAATTCCTTTGTAATCGACTGACTGTGGAGGATTCTCATGGTTTTCCACTCATAAATAAGGAGGAATCATCACTAAAACATCCCTCCATAAAGGTAAGTTAGTTCAAATATTGGATCCAGGAGTTCTCTTATCATCTGGAGCAAAACGGAGATGAGATCTGGTTTGGATCGTAAACCGTACACTGTTTATAAATTAAAATAGAGAGATTTTGCGTAGCTTTTGTCTTACGTTAATTGTAACGATAATCTTATTTTGTACCCCTCAATGATATTGCTATTGGCAGAGAAATTTTCGCACAAGCCCAGTGAAGCCTGAATAGCGTTAGTAGGAAAACCAGCAATGCTATGCAAAATATCTCTATTGATTAAAACTAAACAAATGCTACTGAACGGGGATATAACGCAACGGTGATATAAAAACAATCAATAGGGTGTGAGGCGGAGGTTTGTTTCTCCGTCAGTAGCCGCCAATATCCGTATAGTAGAAAATATAACTATACAGTCTCCAGGAAAGAATATACAAATTGTTCAGTGAAATTTAGATTTTATTAGGCATAATTGGTGATATAGAGAATGGCCATTTCTTAATCCAAAAAATATGAAATCCCTCAAAGGGATGAAATCAGAATACTCTCTATTGAGAGATCATACAGCCAGAATATCATTTCTGACGGTTAGAAATTGAGACTGGGGAGGCCCCTAAGGGCACTCCCAGTCTCCTCAAATTTGAAATTAAAAGTGAATATAATTATTCCCAACGGACATAGAAAGTATGGGTAGGAGATCCAAAATCGGCGATTTATCATAATATATCATAGCCAAAACAAAGCCAACTAGCATATCAATATGGGTTTAAAAGAATACCTTGGCGATCACGAGTGGTCAACAAATTTATGAGAATTATTACAACCATGCAACCGAAACATTTAGCGGTTGGAAATTTAGAATAAAAAGTTATTAATAGATTTTTGTTTTCGATTAGAGGCGACAGTGAATTAATAAGTCTGCCTAGCATGAAATAGGAAGTATCCATTACATTGAGCTATAAGAAAAGAATAAATATTTTATGTTCGTTTGAAAATATTAAGTCTTTGATTTATTTTAAATGTAATTCTATTAATAAAAAAAGCTTAAGTAATGAAAGATATTTTAAAAGGATAGAAAATAAATATGTAATGCCAATTGTGGCATCACAGGGTGTATAAAGGTAATAGAATTACATTTACTGGAAGAAAGTAGGAATGAACATTCTGTATTTTAAAAATAGATAGTTTCCCTACTTTCACTAAAAGCATATTTTGTAAATTTCCGATTTAAGTGAATTCCCTTTGATGAAGAGCGTATGTTAAATAAAAAAAAATTAACTCATTTGCGTAATAATTCATATTAAACATGTGAACAAAATTCAGATTTTTGTTGAAATGATTTAAGACAAAAATAGTATCGTCTCTTATGCATTTACAAAAAGTATGTAAAATGCTTTAAAGTACTCTCTTAATAGAATGAATAAAAACATATTTAATATGTGCTATAAAATACATGGTTTAAATTATTTCCATAAGATGTATAGTTAAAATGTTTAAACTTCTTTTGAAAAATTAATTACATTTTATGAAAAGCCTCAAAATAATTTTTTTTGTGTGTTAGATTATTATTCTAAGAAATCAATATTTAAATATCAAAACAATAACACAGCCAAGGTGGTTTTACATTACTGTTCAGTTTATATGATGAAGCATGCAAAAATCTGAATAAATTAATTCAATCTAAACTTAATTAAGTAAAAAAAAATCAAAATATCATTTTATAAATAGAACTTTCGGAGAAACTAATTACTGCTTTTAAATACTCAGGTCTACAGACTAAATAAAATTTATTCTATACGAAACATTTCAATTATGATTTTATCAATTTAAATTCATTTTGTGAGGTTTTCGCTAATTGACTAGGGAAAAAAAGCTTCTTTTCATGCTAAATTATTTAATAAAAAAGAACTATTAATTAACGTATTTAGGTTTGGATAACAAACGCATTTCTATCTATTGTTGCAAGTATTTTATTAAAAGCTAATTTGCAAGGAACAATGAAATTCTTACTTTTTAATTGAATATAACTAGGGAAAATTTTTTATGCATTCTAAAATATTTTTTTTAATCAATGTTGTTTCATAATCTGAGTTTTAAAATCACGGTAAAAAAATTCATAAAGCCTCCAAATGTGTCAATTTGCAAATAGACGACCAGATAATTACTTTTGCTAGAAATTTCCATACCATAAATTAATACAAAAATTATGATAGAATAATTTCTTAACAATGGGGTTAATTAGCGAGAATAAAATATTTATGCTTTTGTTATAATAAAGAGGGGAAAAAACTGTACAAGACATAAATATTATATAAAAAAATCCAAGAGCAGTTTTTAAAATTAACATTTATTAAGGAAATAAAAAAAGAAATTTTGTGAATTTTGTATCACTTTTAAGTTTATACGCAATACTGTAGTGGAATAGTCAAATTTTTGAGTTTATGAATTAATGTTTTATTAAGTAAAGTAAGAGCTAAAGGGTTTATTATATAAAAGTTAAGAACAAGGTTTTTGAGATAAAGGATTAACGAAAGAATTTTTAATCTAAGTTCGTTTTTTCTAGTTGAAAATGACATTTTATTGACATTAGTAAATATATCCACG